CTTAGACGGTGAGTAAAGAAAAACTGAATTTATTTAAGGAAAAGGCATGGGGGATGGGATATCCAAAGGGAAGGGCTACACAGCACTGAGTCAAAGGGTATTGGGTCCATGATGGCAGCAGAAATATACTTTGGGTGGTGAAACAAGGCAGATGCATAGAGGAAGCAACAGGAGAGCCTGGCTGGGCTGCTCTGGCTCACTGAGAGGTCAGAGAAAAGGGGGCCTCGGAAACAGGTTCAGGGGGTAAGCCTGGGACAAGCTGCCACTGCCCATTGCTCCCCTGGTTGCAAGGCTTGTGGGGTCTCCTCAGAGGCAAGAAGGGAGGAGATGGTACTGGCCTGCTCCCCTAATGGGGAGCGCACACTGGGTCCTTTGTCCTGAGCGTATTTACCTCTCTCTTGTAGGTGGGAATCTTAGGGGTGGGTCTCAATAGAATATTCATCAGCTCTCTAGGTGGGCTCTTTCAGAGTCCTGGTCTCCACTGATTGGTCAGCACCATGGCAGGGAATCATTAGTCAATGTAGCTGGTCCTGAAGCAGCCAGGGGCCACTTGTCTGGTTTTGCTGCTTTTCTGGGCCTGGAGCTGAAGTACAACTGAGGCCTAGATGTTTTCTTTAGGGAGGGAACACTCAGGGAGTCTAAACCTCATGACCAGCGATATGCTAGGGGAGGCTAGGTTACCCTGGGGATGAGGTTCTTGTTTACCCAGTTTCACTCCTTGCTAGGCATCTGGGACTTCCTACCTTGGCCCATGGTCTTTGCTTTGCTCATGTCTGTCTAACAGGGTCCACGGTGGTGGGGCTGCTCTTATCATACCTGGGTGAGGGGCATCCCCCAGGGAGCCTGTTTCATTGTCATAGAGCCAGTCCAATACTGCCCTCAGCAGCAGCATTTCTGCAGTCTCAGTAAATACTGACATGTAAATCACAAGGGAGGGGCCAAGCCACTACCCTACTCTAGTGAGAATGTTCCCTTAGTCCATTGCAGTCAGCAAGGACTTCTCCTTGAACTATCCCCATGGAGAAAGCAGTCAAAGAAGCATTCAGGCTGAGTGCAAACACCACCCTTTACAGTGTTCAAAACCAGAGATGCTGCTACTTGATCTCAAATTCTCAGGAGCACTTTCACCCGGGTCATCAAGAAATGACAATCTGCAAAATGCCTGTTTTGTCACTGAACAGTCTCTTACTGACTCCTGCCCTCTACCATCCACTTGCCCACGTGAATTGTCATCTTAGCTGCAGTGGGTCTCTTGGGCCTGAGAGGCAGTGTGGTGTTACAGAAAGAACACCAGTGAGCCACCAAGATTTGACTCCAGCTCTACTGTTGCCATGACTACTGGTTCAAGCACCATGCTGTTTACATCAAAATCAAATGTTCCCACCTGAACTGCTGTTACTGGGTCCTCATTTGGTGCCTCGACAACTTCGGCTGCAAGGTTTGGTGACATAACTTTGGAATTTGGATTAAAATCCCCTGGAGTGAGTGGAGCAGCCTCTACTACACTGTCAATGACGACCACCATCACAACCACCACCACAACCACTAGTGGATTTTTACCTTCAGTCTAACACCAGTGATACCAACTGGGATTAACAACACTGTTCCAGTTGGTTTTGCTTCCTCGCCTTTGACTTGGACTGTTAATTCGATAGTAACTCCTGTGATGACATACTGCCAGTTGCACGGTCTGATAAATAAATGGAACCTTGAGTTAGAGGGTCAAGAGCAGCACTATCTTCACTACGTGCTCCAGCTCAATGCTTGGGACTGTACGTCAATTGAGAGTGGTAGGAAGATTTCTGTTTCACGTGGAGTTGTGGAAAAAGTGAAACTGGATCAGAAAAGGCTGGAATAGGAGGAACTAGACAATCTCTTGGTATCTTTCGAGGAGTCTGTGAAGGATCAGAGTAGGTCTGTTGACCCAGGGTATGTAGGTGAGGAGTGTGAGAGGACTTACAAGATAGTAGGAAATGTAGGTGCTCAGCTGAAATGAATGGCCCAGGATCTGAAGGACAACTACCGAGGTCCTGAATGTATCTGAAAGACCTGCTCCAGCAGATCTGCGGAATTCTGAAGGCTCATGTTTTTGTGTATTTGCCTTGTCCTTGGCTTGAGAACAATCTGATCTCTTCTGCTTCATGTTTCACCTACGTCACAAATAAAAACGATGTTAAGAAAGAAAGAAAGAATGCACGAATACCAGCTCTGGAGTTGGAGACTGCTTCAAGTACCAACACCATCCTTTTTGGTTATTAAGCAAATGACCTCCGCTGAGCCCCTGGGTGTTTATCTATATTGAATAGGATTAAATATTAACGTGTGTTAAACTCTTAGAATAATAAACTAGACACTCACTTAAAAGTGTACTTGAGTACTCTCAACGACACTTAAAAACAAACAAAACAGCAAAGAAAAGAAACTGGAAACAGTCTGGACAAGGAAGTAATAGAATGGTGCGCCAGAGCATGGAATACTTGGCAGCCAAGACAAATGTTACAGCTTTCACACATTTTCTCAGGGGGGTGGTGGGGGGGTTTAGAAATATATATACACACACATATATGTATGTGTACATATAGACACACACATATACACACACACATATACACACATATATAGGAACCTGAGAGTCTGCACTGGGTACTGTGTTAAGTGCATAGAAGGGAGGAAACCCGGGCTCACTCTCAGCCAGGGGAGGCCGAGCCTTGGAGCCCCCGGAACGCCGGCGATCAGGGGACTGGCGCCCGTCGGAAGGCGGGGCGTGCGGCGCCGCCGTCACAGCCGCTCGGTTCCCCGACGCACGCCCGGGAGCCGACGTGACCAG